ATATATACAGACTTTCTGACCTTGTCTTTCTTCTGTCCATTTTCCTGTGCTCTGGAGCACACCTGCCACCCTACGCTTTGAAAACCTTTACAGACAGAAACTTACTATTCAGAAGCTGCAACAGAGGAGGGTCAGATAGGAACTAGCAAACTGCCCTTCCTAAGGCCATGTACATTGCACATGTTTGTTAAGCTCAATTCTTGATTGTTGGTCTTATCTAAGTTGGCATTTTGGATTCCTATGCATAGATCATAATGGTTACTTCCAAAAACAGTCACTTAACAAAAACACTATAAAGGAATTGTATCACAAAAGATTGGATTAGAAGGGAAGTTGTTTTATTGCTTAACATTTTAGCATCAAAGATAAATGACTGACATGTAGTGTTTAAAATTTGATTTTTATTTTCTATTAGAACTTGTGACTATATGGAGGGAGGAGTCGCATCATTTCACCAATCTTTTCTTTATTTCCTTCCTTAAGCGTTTTTTACTTTTGTTTTGGTTTTTGCTTTTTATAATGTTACAATCATGGGATGTTAGCACTGGCTTATATATGTGATGATTTGCTTTAATTAAATAGTGAAAATGAGCCCTATGAGGTGTCATCCATTATCATTTTCATTTTAAAAATGAAGTGGAGGCTCAGAGTTCTCTATCATCATGTGTCATTTCTACACAAATACCCAGTGACACCTAATTTTTAATGCAAAGTTGTTCCAGAGACATTGCTGAAATATCAATTTACAAATGGGATTTTGTTTCACAGAGTTTGTGTCAAATATGTGTTAATTATTGAAAACAGTTACTATGCAGGCCAGCTAACTTTCAGACATAGAAACCTAAGTAACTCTCAATTATGTTACCAAGTCAAATTATCAGGATGCAGACCATCTTCTCCTTTTTTGTGTTGTCTCATTGCATAAACTAGTAGAAAGCAACCGTTTATTTTTAAGAATTTTATACATGAACAATACATTACACCATTTCTACCCATCTACCATCCCATCCAACTCCTCCACTCTACACCCCAACTCCTTCTCAAATCCATGACCTTTCTTCGTCTTTAGTTATGCACACACACAGATGCACACACACATGCATGTGTACGCATGCATGCTCATAAACCTGCTGAATCCATTTAGTATGAATGCTTACATGTACATATGTTTAGTGATGACCACTTTGGATTAGATAACTTATTAGAAAGTTTGCCCCTGGAGAAGAGTGTCTCCCTCTTTCAGCAACCATTACTTACCTATAGCTCTTCATCTAGGGGTGTCATCCTATGATCCTTCCCCATCAATGGTTGCATATCAGTCAGTGTTGTCATTATGCAGGTCTAATTTAGAGCAATATATTGTTTATATTTCATGGGTGTAGCTTCCCTCTCATATATAGAATACATTCTCTGACACCAGACGTCTTAGTCCTCTGACTTTCACAATCATTATGCCCCATCTTCTGTAATAATGGTAGTTTGCTACAGTATAATATTTTTCAGTAGGCATTACTGGCATATGGAGACAGAGCTTTCCTTTTGGTGGCAGTACATTATATATTGCAAGGCCCCAACCCTCTATCTATTAAGCACCAATAATGACTTCCCCATCCTGATTTATGATGTCCTAAGTGTGCAGGTGACCCTAAACTTGAGAACCACTGTTCTAATGAAAGACTCAAGATACTACCAAGCCAGAAATGCAAGTATTCATGTTATACATATTTAATAAATGCTTACTCCACTGAGTATAACCAAAATTGAAACACTCAAAGAAATGGACAACTCTTCTGCTATAGATTTTAAACATTGCATCTTTAGATATCAAATAAATTATTAATATGTTTCACAATTAAAATATAAAAGCCAAGAGCATTAGCAACTGGGGCAATTGTCTGAACCTGTTAAAATCATTTCATACGAAACCTCTGTTAGTTATTTCTATTGTGGTTATGAAAAACAGCAAAGGAAAAGAAATTAAAGACAGGAATGATTTATTTGGACTCAAAGATTCAGCCTAGCTCCATGTGGTCAGACAGAATGTCCTGTTACTGGAGCATATGGTAGAGGCTCTTCTTTATCTCTTGGTGCATGAAAAACAGAGAGAGAGAGAGAGAGAGAGAGAGAGAGAGAGAGAGAGAGAGAGAGAGAGAGAGAGAGAGAGAGAGAGAGAGAGAGAGAGAGACAGCAAAGGTCCAAGGATAAAATACTCCCAAAGACCTGTTCCAACCAATCCCATTCCTCCAGTTAAGTGCCAGCTGCTTAGGTTTCTAGAAAGCTCCCTAACAACTCCACCAGCAAGGAAACATGCTAGTGAAAATAAACACCTGTGGAGGACATTTTGTATCCAGTCTATAACAAGTCCTACAATTTGATTCCCTATGAATGAAGAGAAATGATAAGGTGTGATTATCACATAATGCCTGATTTTAACTGAATATGTAACCATGCGCAACACTCTTACGGGGTTCTATTAGCTTTTACATAAAGTGACAGTTCTCTAAGAAACAGACACTACAAATGAAAGACCTTTTTAACCATGGGAAATAAACATAGAGAAAGCCATCATGAAAGGTGCAGTAACTTTAGGAAAAAGAAAATTGCTATTAGATATGACAGCTGTCACAACAGCACACAGTAATAAATGTAATTGTAGCAATAAAGTATTTGTACTTAGTTCTTTTCAAGGAGTTAACATAATGAGCATCTTGTCTAAATTGGTAGTTTTTATGGTGTTGTCAAAAATAGTAAAAGCAAGATAACATCTTGAAATGTGCAGCATATTTGCCTTACTCTGAGTCACTGGATATCTTACTCTGGATAACTATGTTTGGAATTGTTTCCATGGTTGTTCCATTTATATCCTTTAGTCATTGTTATGTGTGATTAAATTATTCTTTTACTTGAGATCTAACGTACTTGAACCGATCTTTCTATTATCTGGCTCTAATAAATCCATTGTAAGCTAAAATTGCACTGTTTTAGCTTTCACAGCATATAGTAAAACCTGTATTTCTTACAATTATTTTTCTATTATAACAATATAATTTTTGTGACTTTAAATAATAATGCTGTTTGCCTCTATAAGGTAGCATTCACCTGGCATCCAGTGAAAAGTCATCATTAGTGATTAGCGTTTTCTAGAAAATGAGGAAGCACTGCAATACAGAAAATGCATTCTTGGGGAGACCAAGAACACAGGAGCTATTTGTGAGCAATAATGAGTACTCTACACAGTCACAAAAAATGTTTTTCACTCTTCCTTGAAGTTATGACAGAGTTTCTCTGGTGACTCCTGGATACTCGTGACACATGTCTCAATGTTGCAAGTATTTCAGCTCTGCTATTAGTTCCTACCAAGTACAGAGATGCTTCCAACTTTAACCGGCTTTTGGCAGAGATTTTTGTATTGAAAAACAGTATATTGTTTCCTACTTGTCTTATTGATGGGACCAAATATCTGCGAGGAAACAAGGAAAGACACGTTTATTTTTGGCTTACAGTTTGAGGAGGTACAGTCCTTCGTGGTTGAGGAAGACACAGCTGTAGTGGTGTAAGCTAATCACAACTCCTCCAGAGTGGACAGGAACTGGGGCCAAACCTCAAAACCGCAAGGCTCTCAAAGGGACCCACTTCCTCAAGGAGGACTCCATATTTAAATTGTTCACAGTCTTCTAAAACCCCACGAACTAGCTGGTGACGTGTGTTTAATGACACAAGTCTATAGAGGAAATCTTATACTCAAGCAACAAGACAGACTAAGTCTCTTAACAAAAACAGCACTTGCGAACTCTGAGCATGGGACAAATATCACTCTAGGACACACCATATACAGTTCCTCTGCCTCCCAAGTGCTGGGATTAAAGGCATGTGCTACCACCAACCAGCCCTAGACATTAATATTTAATGTTACTACTTTTGAATTCAATATTTTCAAATCATATACAAAGGATTGCAATCTCTCAAATAAGGATTGGTGCATTGTTTATTTTCATTCCACAGTAGAGTTTGTTCTTGTAGTCAGTCAATTCTGTGACATCACTCCCTATCTCTTGACCTCACTTTGTTAGTATGAAAAGCATGTCTTTGATGAAAGTTCTTTTATACCCCAATATCTAAAGGGTACTGTGATTTATTCTGGAATGTGATGGATAATTTCTCAAGCATTTTAATGTTGTATATGTTTATTGTTATATAAATGTATTTCAAAAACATTCATAAATATAAAATGTTATACTCACAGAGGGCACCGGTATTAATATTTCCAGAGTACAGCACTAATCTTTTTGGTGCAAGATAGTTTCAGATACTAGTGGGACAATTTCCTGCATCTTTATCATTCATGTGGGTGTGGATAATCAAATGATGTAAGTGACAAGCTTTCATGTGTGTCTCATCATTTCATGGCCTGGCTCTTGGAACTAAATGCTGATTTAGAAATCTTAATCTGAGTGTAGTAGTGCATAACTTATAATACCAGGATTGGAGAGACAGAGGTAAGCGGTTTCTATGAATTTGAAGCCAACCTGATCTACATAGAGAGCTCAAGATCTCCAGCCTGGTCTTGACCCCTCTGCTCTCTGCAACTGGATTCCAGAGTTCAGCTCAGTGTTTAGCTGTGGGAGTCTGCTTCTGCTTCCATCAGCTACTGGATAAAGGCTCTAGGATGGCATATAAGGTAGTCATCAATCTCATTATCAGAGAAGGGCATTTAAGGTAGCCTCTCTCGATTATTGCTTAAACTGCTAGTTGGGGTCAACCTTTTAGATTTCTGGACATTTCCCTTAGAGCAAAGGATTACCAGCCTATAATCTACACCTCCAGAGAAGCAAGAATAATCTTATAAATTTGTGAGAAAAACTATATCCCAATTATTTAATTTTGTAACTTTCTTGTGAGAGTTATTGCCATTATTGATCACAGGTTTAATTGCATGTTGATGATCACTAACTTTTCCATGAATAAGTCTTGGATTAACACCAATTTTTATTTCTTCCAAGGATCCTTCCCGGCGATTGGGGTGGAAGCTTTCTGCCCCAGCTTCCTGAGAGCTGGGTTTTTAAACAGCATCCAGGCCCCACATCCAGTGACAGCGGGAGGATCTCTGCCCCCCAGGATTCCTACTGGTAGGTATCCCAGGTACATTTCTCCACCACCCACGTCCAGAGAAAGCAACACAGCTCTTCTCACAGCTGATAGAAAAACAATACAAAAACGGATAGTTCCAAAAGACATTGAGAAGAAATGCAAGTGACTCTTTGCAGTGCAGTGAGAACTCCTGTAGTATCCTGTGCTGTGAAAACAGGATCAAAATAGGGTAAAAGGAGTTTCGTCCCAAGTGCTCACTTAGTGTAGAGTTTACGTAGCAAAAACTAGAGCGACCTTGCCACTTGGAATGGTTCACAAAAGAGAATTGAAAACTAAGGATGTTGACAGAGTAATTGGATAAGTCTATAGGGATTTAATTAAAGTTCCATTTTACTAAAGGAAAATGATTTGAAGAAAAGCCAGAAACCAAAAAATTTGGAAGAAAAAATTGAGATAGAAAATTAAGATTCAGTCCACTCTAAAATTAGTAATCTGACCAAAATTATTAAATAAGATATAGCATATCTCACATTCTGAATTTCAATTTCAGAATTTAGTGAAATTTTTATGAGTTATTCCTGGCAACACAAATTATAAATCCTTTCTTCCTGTCCTTCAGTGAAGTCCAGAGCTGTCATCTTCTACTATACCCAAATGATACAGACTCCCTTGCACTTAATGTGAATGTTGACTCAACATTTTAAATCAAAATTGTTGTGTATTTATCATAACTAATAGTAATGGTATAAGTTATGCTAATGTTATAAGTATTTCCAAGAGAACTGTCCTACCATCAGGGTAATGGAACATTTGGAAAGGTCAGGATTTTTAATTTTTAAAAAGTTCCAAGATGTACATTTGTTTGCTTTTCTTAACACAATGCCAACTATTCTTACAATCATTCTGACATATTACTCTTGCCTTTTAATAAATCTTATTATATAAAAATCAACTATCAGTAACGATGCTTTATTGTCATTTTCTTCATTGACGCCATGTGGTGCTTGCTGTGTCTAGAGACTTTGTGGCTGACAGTACTGTTGATAAAAGTGGGAACCAAATGATGGAAGTGAAAAGCTTAGCAATTTTAATTCTGATGATGCTTTACCCCTTTTATGTCCTGAGAAACGGAGTGGTGAGAATGACATGGCTAATTTTTATTTTTGCTGACCAAAACAAGGGTAAAAATCTACATCAACTAAGCTTTAGTTTATATAATTAATATCTCACTGATTAGAATTGAGTAGATAAACACAATTAGTAGTTTAGTGGTTCAGTCCTTAACATTAGTGAGAATCTGATAAATTTAGATATATCTGACAGAAATGACATTATGAAGTTTAACAGTGATCTGAATTATTCAGCATTACTAACAAAAAAAATTGAAATAGCCCTTGTCATTTAGCCACTGGGAATGACAGAAGAAAGATGATCTGTCTACAATGCAACCACAAAAACTCCCTTCCAGAGAAGGATCCGAGAGAGAGCCCCAGCACTCCATTCTTCTAGGCTTTAAGCCAAATTTGCCTCCAGCTTTCAGAGGAGAAAAAACTCCATTCTGTTTTCATGACTTCCATACAAATTAGGTGAAACAAAATTGCTGCGTGAAACATTTATAGATCTCAACTTGCTCTTGTTCCTTCAAACTGAAATTAACTCAGCTCACTTTGCCTACTCCATAGCCTCCTCATGGATGATGCCTGTACATTTTTTTTTACCTTACAGCAAGGGCTGCCGCATTTTCAAGGGTGATTTGTATTTTCTCTCAATCAACTCTAGGTAATTTTCCTCATAATCTTGAGTTAAGAGGAATAATGCGGTCATCAAGAGAAGTCTCTCTTATTTGTTTCATACATTTAATACCCTGAAGTATTCCCTTGTCAAGTAATATCCTCAGGGATGTTCCTTCAGGGTTAGGATATCAAACCAAGAAAGACAGGAAGCAATGTTCCTTTCCCATAACTGCCAGGAGACTCCCAGAACCAGCTGAAGAATAATGTCTGCTGGGTGTCTACTAAATGATTATATGCCACCGAAGTTGACATTCTCTCAAGATATTTCCCATGTCATTGGAGAAGTATCAAACCTATTCTCAGACTGATGCTAATTTGGTTCCCGTTAATCAAATTTAAATGAGATATGCAGCTATGTTTTGTATACGAGGATTGTATTGATCCTTTGTTTTTCATCACATACTGCTATTAAGCAACATTATTTCTACTACAGCATTTACTTCTAATACATACTTCAACCTTACGACAATCACTGGATCATGAGACCCAGAAAATAGAGAAGCTTGTCAGTATTCGTGTAGCAACCCTCAGTCAGTCGTGAATTTCTTATTTCTGGATAGGTCATTTCAAAGGGTTATTTTTCTGAGTTTAGGATAGAGAAAAACACTTGGATGTATTGGTCTGTTCTCAGTAACATGCGGGAGCACACGGGACTTCAGAAAACAAATGAACATTGGAAATCTCCCTAGAATTTCCTCCATGGTTCATCTTAGAAGCAGATGCTGCTCCAGAGCATCTCAGTTTGCCTGTCTGTACCATGAGAATGACTCTTCTCGTTGGCATTTAGGGGTCTCTTCATTGTGTAAAATGTGTGAGGGTCCAAGGAAATGACCAATTTGCTTAGACTCTGCCTACCTGGAATTGTCAAACAGATAAATATGAACACACGGAGATTACAAAACCAGGTGTGCAGTTTCTAGGACTATAGCTAATAACATGTAATATCACTTGTTTATTTTCATAGAAATTGATTTCAACCATTCTAAAAGTCGAAGATTCAAACCTTTCTACATATGCCTCCCTGCCCCTTGGCTAACCATGCTAGCAAACGGGTTGACAACACTGCTTTCTGTAAGTCGCTAGTATTACAACTGCACCACTTTCACAACAAAGGACACACGCCCTGAATAAATATTAAAATTTCTCCACAGTCTACTTAACAGTTATCATGATTTTCCTTTCTCTGCTTCATATGAAATACTATCTGATATGGAATTATGGAAATATACTATGTATTACTCCATGGAAAAGAATTTGGAAGTATACAGCTTGGGTGTTCAAATTAGACTAGATAAGTTTGAAGCTCCAGGAAGTCTCATCCCTGGTGATAATGATGTTGTTAGCTCTGGGCCTGTACAGAGGATGCAAGAAAGAAATGACATCAATGCTTATGACTACATGGCAGGTTTGAATGGAGTAAACAGTATGTTAAGGAAATTTAACGTTTTGTTTGAACTCAGAGCACCACGGGAAATCAACATTGGAATAGAATACATTAACTGTTAAATGTGATCAAACAGCAGTTCAGAAAAATCAAATTAAATCATTTGGTTTCTTCATATCTTCAGGCATGCTAAAGGACAATGACATTGGCCTGAAACATTTCAAACCCAGTCATTTACAGCAAACCAACATCTACTGGAAACAGTTCTCCTGATGGTGAACATTGTGAAGTTAATTTTCCAAAGAGCACACATAATAAAATATTGTTGTACTTAGTATAAATACTTACAGGATATACTTTATAAGTAGGAGATCTTCAGGATGAAAAACTTCTATTATTCAATTGAAGTGCATATCTGCTATATATTTTGCAATTGCAGCTACTGCCAAATACTCAGGATGAATTATGGATAAGAGTATCCATGTGCCTGCCTAGATCAAGAGCTTCAGGGAACTGTAAAAGATGAAAAGTATAAGAAGTTCCAAATAAGCCACTCAAATGTACAGGTACAGTCGTAGAAAGATACCCCTTCCTCTGAAGTACTAACTTCCAGTTCCTTCCTTTCTTGCTATCTGCCTGATGTCAACCCTCCACCCACTTCAGTCCCTAATCAGGAGGAGTTTGTCACTCTTTTCTAAGGAACTCACCTTCTCTAGAGCTTTTACAGCTGCAAGCTTTGGAAGAAAAGCCAGAAAAATGGTATCTAAGAAGAAGGGAGGCAAAGCTGCTGACGCAGACAGATTCAGGCAGGCCACCATGATGACTGCTACCTCTGGTAAGAGAAACATTGAGGGACAGGGTCACAGACAGAATGACAGTATACCCAGCCTGCCAAAGCACAAGAACGTCAACGTCAACACGTGACTGTAGTTTTACTCCTTTGAAAGGAAATGTCCCCTTTAAATTACTTGCAACATTGGTAGTGCTAGGTCAAATATTTGAAAACTTCATAGTTCTAGGCAAAATATGCACCACATTGGTAGTGCTAGGTTTGAAGGCTATTGTGTTTGTTTGTTTGTTTGTTTGTTTGTTTTTTGAGACAGAGTGTCTCTGTATTGCTTTGGAGCCTGTCCTGGAACTCGCTCTGTAGACCAGGCTGGCCTCTAACTCACAGAGACCCACCTGCTTTTGCTTCACAAGTGCTGGGATTCAAGGTGTGTGTCACCAAGCCCTGCTTTGAGTGTTATTTTTAAACTCCCATTTAGGATGTATTTTACAAACAATCAAAAGCCAGATCAAGATCCAGGGTTGTATTCAGGCAGCTTGCTTAGTGTTCAAATTCAATGGGTTTAAAAGAGCAAGTACATGCTTTGGTTCTTTGGTTCTTGGACTTACTTAAGGAAAACTACTCCAAAAGTAGGAAAATCATTCAAAATTAAGGAAGACAAGTTCAAAATATTTGGAATTTTAAAAAGTCATAATAGGAACATACATTAAATTGAAGATGTTATTAAAACCTGCAAACATTAGACTTGAGAAAAGTTAATGCAGCTTATGAGATGAAAGAATGCTCTGGACAAGTTACATAATTCAGTGACACAGGCCATAGACTTAGATTCCTCACGGCTGTACTTTGGTTCCTTTTTGAGGGGGCCAGCTGGAAAGTAACACTCATCAGTTGTAACAACTGAAAACACCATGGTTCTTTATCCTCCATCCCCGCACCCAACGCTGATGGGTGAACATTCTGTAAAGTTTCAGGAGGTCACCCAACAGTCTGAAACTCAGAAAGGAAGCACGAGTCCTGCAGAACTAGATGTTCGGCTTTCCAAGTTTTATGCTCAGGGTAAGAAGTAGGCGT